AGACAAGACAGACAATATTGCCTTTACTACTGACAGATTATATCCATGTCACTTTAATATGGCCAACCAGCTGCTGTTGAATCTCATCACATTTTTTCAAATGTGATGTCACAAGTGAAGAACCGAAAGGCTGCCTGTACAACAATTGCCTTGACGTGCATTGATCTGGGAATGTGCTACCACTCAATCTGAAGTGATGACAGCTGACGAATATGATGTGATAGCAGTGTAAGATTAGAGAAATAGACTCATATTATTTTATAAATAGTCATATCTGCCATATAACTTGAGAGTATCTTTACTGAGAAACTGTCTTCATAAAGTGATCATCATGATGACAAGTTGTTTCTTTCGATTTCTGGTATAAGGATTACATGTCTAAAGAGTCTCAAAACTTCCCTGATATGAGCTTGTGGGAAAAAGCATACTAATATAAGACTCCATACTGCTGCATGTCTGTACATCTGTAACATAAAGCTAGGGTGCCAAATGTACTTTGTTTTTGTTATTGTTGATATGTTTGAATATGCTGCTACTTTGCTGCAAAGGCAGCTGGTTAAACAGGCACATACTGTATCTCCCTTTTTGTGCTGCAAGCAGGAAAGCATTTTTTTTTTTGAAAGGCTAAAACAAAAAACCTCACAAAACTAAAGATTGAAGTGGAATATCTCGTTAGACAGAAGTTTATCATGTGTTCTTTTCAATAAATGTTGACCTTCTGACTAGAAAAAAATACTCTTGAACCAAATTTAAAAATAATACGATGCAAATAACATTAGTGCAGCCTCATCATTATCTGCAAATGTGTAGGAATACATGCTAAAAAATATATGTGCAACATTTGAATGTCAAAGCAATATATGAAGCTTTGAACTATAAGGTATCCTACCAACCATCAGCTTTGTAAAAACATCAAGTTCTTACGACCATAATTGAACTAAAGATGTTACCTAACAATGACTTGGAAATGAGTAATTGATTGTCAGTAGGACCCATTAATTAGGGGCTGCAGAGGGTCTACTGTGAAAGGCTGAGAGAGGGAGCTGATCCAGCATAGGATAAATAACCTGTTAGTAAAATCAAAGCGCTGCCATATCTGGAGCTCCACTCTAATGTTTTTTCAATAGCCATCAATAGTCGGAGTGGATTATTTTCTCTGTGGTCTTGGTGTGGCACATCATATCATTTAGTGAGAAAAAGGATTTCTCCCAGATGAAAAGTCTTTCTTTAATGGCTTTTCCCTCTACTAGGTCATCTTGTGTGGCCTATCTAGCAATGGTCTCAAAGCCTTTTCACCTGTTGTGTGACTTTTGTCCTCTCTTATCTCCTTGACATATGAGGCAGGAATCCCTTGTGGCACAGTGTGATCCCCCCACAGCTGAGGAACACAAGAACATTTCAATGAGAAACCAGAGCCATTTGAAAAGAGTGAAAAACTGGAGACAATTGGAAATCAGTCAGTTGAAAATGTCACCTTTTACCTGATGGAAAAGTCTTTGTAGCATAAAAGATTACAGAAATATCATCAGCTCAGGCACGATAAAGGACACACCCGCATGTGTATTACTGATCTGAGGTTATTAATCTGTATACTTTGCCAACTGTGCCAAATAATCCACTTTCACAGCAAAGTAACTAAATAAATAACCAACCAAGTAGATTTAAATAAATAAACGAATAAATCAGTAAGAGGATCTGGGCTGCATAATTCATTTGAGGAGAACACATCCATAGACAGAGCAGTAGCACTGTTTTGCTTCCTCTAGGGCTTGCTGGAGTTTCATCATTTGTGCAGCACAGCTACAGTATGTCTAATAAGAACTAACACTGTGCAGCACATCTGTCAGACGTGTGCATTATCCAAAGCAGGACACAAGGACTCCTTGGCACACTAGAGGCCCTCAGCTGATTAAAGCGGATTTCAAACGCTTTGCATTCACATTATTTGCATTCAGCAAAACGCATCAAAGAAATATATTTCATCGTTTATCAACATATATATTACAGTATGCGAGTGTGTATAGATAGACTCTATTTATAAGGCTAATGTAATCGTCCTAGAAACTTGAATTAAAACAAATCGCCGTCCATTCTGTATGAAGATACAGCAACATATGAGAATCAACATGGCATTTGTCGGTGACTTATACTTAGCAAGGACTTATTTTATCCATACAGGTACATTTATACATCTAATAAGGCTTAACGGGGTGTTAGGCATGGATTAAAAACTCCAAGACCCACCTTGTAATGGGGGATTTCTTAAGGTGATTATTTATTAATCCACGGGAACCTACAGCCTTACCCAGGCATGAACCCATGTCTGCACTAAACCCACTCACAACTCTGTGCCAACAACTGAAGCGCAGAATGCTGGGGAGTTTTGGCACGACATGAATAAACCAAGCTTGCCGTGGCGTTTGTGTGTATCTTGGGTATAAGGAAGCAGTGTGCATTGACCGAGCGTAGGTTTTCAATCCTATTTTGAGCGTGGAAAATGACGTCATTTGGTACTTTTGCAATTCTTTTTGCTACCAAATCCTACATCCCTTGCACACAAGACGTTATTATACAGTTTCTCATTGGTATGTATTGATAGGTGTCGGGCAGGCGCTTCTCTGCACTGCATGCTGTATGAATAACGAATACTTGGTTTACAAATTACCACCATGAAAACGCCAAGGTTGTTCTCTTCACCATACACGTTTTCGCCTGATCGACCGTGTAGGACAGAGTCAGCCAACAATGACAACACACAGCTTAGCACATCATCACAGCACCTGATTAATATTTTAGCACACCACAGTTAGCAAGAAGGACATTTTTTTTTTTACTGGGGCTCCCCATGTTCTTTTTTGAACTGCTGTAATGTGCCACTGAGTCCCATAGTCTGACTCTTGGCCTGTCATTCTGTGTCAATGCCATCCATAATATACGTATAAGAACCAAGCCTTTCATATTACTATCAATGGCAAATGTGGAAATACATTCCCATAAATTCCTAGACATGGGTCGGAGTGGCCCTTACATCCACCCTGACAAACTGCATTAGCCATCCATCAAGGTAATAATATAAAATCAAGATACTGTGAATGTTAGACATGTGGTCACAGAGGGGGCTGGGTGGCTGCCCTTGATATCCACTCTTGCATATGTTGCTTTGAGCTTCAGAGACGGATCAGTGCAAATGGCATCATTCCTCTTCCCCCGACCACAATGTCCTCCACATATCCTTGAAGTAGATCTAAATGGCTTAGAGTAGTTGTATTTCCCTCAACAATAAATTGAAATGGACAGTGTGAGAGAAGGTCTGGCTTGGATCTAAGGCTTTGTGAAAGCTTTCCTCTCCCAGCTATTCTATGAAGGTTGCAGATTGGTCAGCCAGTGTCAAGATATGCTGCATCATTTATGCATCCTCCATGGCTCTTTGTGAAACCAATAAGTTGCGAGCGTGGAAAAGAGTTGCTAATTGGGTGAGAGTCTCCTGCTGTATCAGCTGGCCACTAGCTGATAATGATACACGTCCTGAAATAGGCTGTGGAACTGCAGTAAGACACATTGGTTCAACAAGTGGGACGCCACATGTGACTCGTAGAGCTAAGAATAAGCAGAAACCTTAGCGCGTTAACAGTCACCATGAAGACAGCTAGTCATCAAAGACGGGATATTAATAGATCAGAACGGTGTCTTCAGCATCAACAACAACAGCAGAATGTCTGAAATGGCCAGTTTAAAGCCCTATGGCTCTTTGACCTACAGTATCTTCAAAGACACTATGAGAATGAGGATGGTATAGGAAACCAAGAAGCAAAAACATCAAACAGGGAGTGATTTTCTATTCTTCAAAACCAATTATGATTGAAGGATTCCTCATAAAACTGTGTTCCAGAAGAAAAGTGCACACAGTAATTTGATGCCTCTCTGGCCCGCGGTCCCTTTGATGCTGAATCTCTACTTAAGTCAGGTTACTGTAGGTACTTAATAACACCTCACCAATAAAGTAGAAAGACAACAGCAACTAAAGAACATCTGCACCAGCCTCTGAGCTCACTTGTTGACCGCAAATACTTTACAATTCTGTTACTTCATGCATTGTGGGAATGGATCACTTGAGAGATATTACAACTGATGACAGACAGGTCATAAATAGCTAATGTTATTGGAACAAGTTTGAATGTATTCGGCACAGACGGGTGGAATTCTTGAGATACTTGTATCCAGATGTTTCGAGGTGCATCATCTCGTCTCTTGCTCAATGTGAAAAGAACATTTGCGTGACCTACTTATGGGAGTTCTTGCGCTCAACCTGCTATATATTTCATATTTTGCTCCAATGATTTCTTCCTGTTTTTTGACCTTCCAAACAAGTCGGAAGGGCCTATTTCTAAACACAGTGACACGGGCGAAGGTATTGACACAAGACTCAATTAAGCTGGACACAAAAGGACGCTCTCTCCACCTGTCCTTTAACACTGCCTTTCAGCTGTGATGTTAAGGAACAACAACATTCCCTACTGTCGTCAGGCCACCAAAGTGTCACAATGTTGATCCAACACAAATGTCAGAGCATCGAACATGCATTTAAAGTACTTTTCAAAAACAAGAATTTAGAGAACTTTCCCATAAATACTATTGTTATGTTGAAAAGCTACGAGTTGTAAAAGCATACTTTTAAAAATCCAGACACTTATCCAGTCAGACGGGACACGTTAATAAATGTGGTGCAATGTTTCAGTTGATCCAGGCATTGACATTGACTGGCCTTTGAATAAACGGAATACTGTCCACTATAGTCACCCGGAGGGACTGTACCATGTGTGCTGCCAGTCATACTGTGAGTGTGTATGACCCCTTGACCATGAAACCCATTCATTAATTGTCTTACAACAAACCCACACCTCCTCTTCCTTCTTTGCCACGGATCATCTTCGCCTCCCCCCAAAAAAATAACAACAGCCACTCAGCTGCTGCTTGACCTTTCACCAGACGGGTCCTCTCAGTCAGGCGACACAACTGGTGGACTGTTTCTGTTTACTCACCCTTTTGCCCTCTTTTCCTGGCTCCCCTGGGACCCCCGCCACACCCTGGGGAAAAAAGCACATGTATTTTAGTAAATCAGATGCTACATTCATTTGACAATGCAGGAAGAAATAACGGTTGGCTTCCTATAAAAACCGATGCAGACAGATGTTTATGCCACATGTTTTCAACAGACCATTGGATAACCAGTGGGCTTATTTGCAGTGATAGGGAATGCAGCATTAGCTTAGTTAAGTTAGCATGAGAAGTTATAAATGAGTGTGTACAGCTGCAGTTTCCATCTTTGCTCATGAACAATTTCTAGGTGACTTCTCCAGGATCCCCTTAATAGGCCATTTTCAGCCTCGGTTGATCAGAGCTTCATTCCATTATTCTACACAGTATCTTGATAAGGAACAATTAGGAAGTTAATAAAGGTGCGTACTGAGTGGTGATTTTGTTTTAAAATGATTGCACAAAGATATACTTATGGGGCTTCAATAATAGCTAGATGGACCTTAATAGTTGTACTTGATTGCTCAGGAATATGCTATGTAGACTGTGTGCAATGAGAAGAACAGATGACATTAAGATTCTTAAAGGTGTTACCTTTTCTCCTTTGTCACCTGGGAGGCCCTAGATGTGGAAAATAAAGAGTCCTGATTACAATAAAACAAACTCAAGAATACAGAATGTTTAGATGTCTCTTTTGTGAAAACAATATTCATTTATTGAAGTACCTGATCTCCTTTGAAACAGTCTTTGTCAGCCTAGGAATCAAACAAAGAATCAAACATAAGAAAACATTCATCCTGTATGGTTTTACCAATACATGTTTGGCAGTTATAGGCAACAGAATACAGTTGGTAAAGAGGTAATTATCTCTAGCTGGATGACCAAAACAGAAGTCAGAGCATGGCTATTACAACCCCCCAGACACCCTGCTGACCACTGTCAGGAAAGGGCAGACAGAGTCGTCTGTCCACCAGGCGACGAAATGGTTACAAGGCCACATACAACATCTCATCTTTCAAATGCAAGCCAAATAATTGGTGTCCTCTTTCAATTGGCATCCAAAAGTCAAACGCCGTTGACTTTTCTTGGAAACAGCTGCAGAAATTGACATTCAGAACATATGTCTTTCAAGTTAGTCGAAGGCCTCATGCAAAGAACAAACAATAGGAAAATAATTTAACAAGGAGGCTGCCCGGAGATATTTGCAGCTGTATCTATAAACCAAGAGTGACAGCTCTGACCTGTGACACCCTTAATAAAACATGACTTCGTCTGTGCAGGGCTTCTGATAATAAATCAATTATTCATATACAATAGTACATCTTTTGTTGGATTGTGAGCACAGAGTTTCGACCTTGGGTAACAAGCAATACAATGCAAATCCACCCCGCAGATAGTATACACTACTTTAATAATTTGCTCAATATTTTCAGCTTACACTCACCCACCAATGTACTGCTATAATTTAAAAAAGTTTTGCTGAAACCGTATCTGCTTCACAGGGAGAGATTGTTATTTTGCTCGTCCTTGTAGATGTAAAAAAATTGCATTGGAGAAAAAGCTAATGGTTGGCGGTGTACTGTGGGTATAGGCACTGGTGACATAAAAGGGGCAAGCCAGCAGCAGTGGGACACAGTATTTCTGTGACTCCAGAGCTGATTAAAACTGTAAGGCTGATCCCCTCATGATGTGTGCATAATTATCTAACCACCCCGCAGTATACCTTTAATCTCCAGCAGCCGTCAATTCTCTGGATCCGGTGCATTGAGAGTATGTGGGTTTGCATCCGTGCCCACACATTCCCTATGTGTGTTGATAAGTGACAATGCGAGCATCTGCTAGTACATATATCTGCTGCCTGCTGACATATGTAGCTTCGATTTGAATGAGCACAATTCTGGGTACACTGTCCTCTAGATATTACAAAACCATACAGGAAGCCGGTCCAATTATAAGATCGAAATACATAAAGTGTGTTGTCGTTCTCCCCAGGTTTCTGTAAATGCTACAAGTTTGCAGTGAAAGACCCAATAGGTGCATGTCTCACCCATGTGGGATACAGCTACCTGTCAACCTCCCCCCCTACGCGGAGGCCGGGTGCTCGATTCCTCTGCGCCTGGCCGCTCATCCCTGTCCTTTTTGGCCCAAGTGACGATGCCCACCGAGCCCTGTCTATCTGCTTCTTGTTTGACCCATTCCCAGGCGATGGTAATGTAACACAGACACTGCTCACCTGAGAGCCTCACTTCCCATCACTGTGGGCCAGATGTTTTAACACTGCTTGTAGCACCAACCCGGCGAAAAAAGGCTGTGAAATGTCATAACAGATAGCATAATGAGATGTAAATGTAACACAGTGAGCTTACAGGCAGCCCTGCAGCTCCAGGCAGACCGATATCACCCTGTGAAGGAAGATACTAATTAATAACTCCTTAAACTTCAGTCAATAACATCTTTAACATTCTGCAGTGCAGTGGAAACGGCTACGGCTAAATCTATTCGATATATTATTGACTTTTAAAAGATTTATCCCAAAGGCCAGCCATCATGTTTGTGATAAAAAACTGAAGGTCAGGCTTTTTATGATGCAGTAATATGTCAAGATATGCACTATGTGCGATAGAAGGCCATTAACTGGTATTTACAGTATGTCTTGAAATGAATGTCTTATGACTTTCAAACTGTCAGAAAACTGGCAGATGGGCTGCTTCTATTAAATGTGACAGGCTTTAAAATAAACACAGCCATACTATTTCATGTAAAAGCTTTGCAGTATTAACAATGGACAGGTATGATAACATTGTTTGGTGACTGTGACATAAGGGCAGCCACGAAAAGTCATATAAGGAAAGAGGTTGAAGTCTTTTGACGCCAGGATAACACAATGTAAGCAATGATCTCACACTCTTTTCACTGCTTCCCCAATGTTTTTGTCTTTGCAGATAAATTCTCATGTGTCACTGTCCAATATTCCTTGCATTTATCTCCCCCTTTCACCACAAACACAACAGGACTTTATAAAGTACTGAGCTGAGGATCTGTCGACTTTGAATCTGGCAATACCCGTTTATCAGATGAGGATGAAAGAAAAAAGCCTTTTTGTTGTTCATATCCATTTTGTTGTCTAAATGAATGTCACAGCTAAAATATGCTTGCTATGGGATATGCAGGGGACTCATTACTTTATGCTTCCAAATCTGCCTTCCTCTGTCAGTTTCAATACAAACAAACGTTCTCTCAGTCTCCACCCCCAACCCCACCATCCCATCCGGAAAATGGGATAAAATACATTGTGATACTCTGTTGTCTTCACAGAAACACACAGACCTCATTATAACTTCAAGGCTGGCAGACAGAGCATTGCACCTACAATTATGCGGTGAGTTCCCAAAGAAAACAACAACAACAAACAAAAAAACCCAATAAGGGAGGAAAATAAAAGAGCGAGAGATATCAACTAATTACAGGAAAAACATTTCATCTCATACATGAAAAGTAATCCCACAGTGGGAAGAAAAGAAAGGAAAACTTTTAAAAAGACCAATATTTTCTGCATTGCAACCAGAGTTTATTTGATTCAGTGATGTCGGTGAACAGACTATTAAGGAGCTGCAGATAAGAACAAGGTTGGGAATCAAACTTCTCATCTGCACTTCCAGCTTGTCTTACATCCCAGGCGTATGCATTTGGGCACTGTATAGGACACACCTAAGTGGATTTCTACAGTGTTTGTGATCAATTGTCAAATATATTCTAAATCAAGTATGTGAGCAGTCCCTAAATAAGAAGGCAATAGTGTGCCATACCCATTTTTGCTGCAGGCTTTAAAGAAATACTGTTTAGAGAGGGCAAGATAAAGGGATTTGTTGGCTATGTCCATTACAAACAGCTTCTCCTATGAATATACAAATACTCTGCAGTGGAACATTTTCTCTAGGCCTGGATAAAAGCTACTCTATATGACCATCAATAAGGTCTTGCTAAGTTATGATAGCAATAACAGTATTCTTCGGCTGGCCATGTTTGGAGTAGCAATCATAGCAGCACTTCAAACAGATGGGCAAACCCCTTATTGAGGCGGGGATTACAGCTCATCAAAGTCAAGCAAATTCCTTGAAGTATCGATTGTTATTTTAAAAAGAAAAGCGAAAACAATTACGGTGTTATTTCGTCCGGGCCAGTCTTTAAATCAGACTCACTAACTTTGTCTCCTGTTGGACCAACCGGCCCTGGGTCACCTTTCAGAGCCTGGGAATAAAGAATATATAATATATTAAATTATATTTCTTTTTAGTGGGAGTTACGGATTAAAAGCTGGTTAAAAAACACCCAAAATGTGTTACTGTATGTCAGTATGTTGACACTCATTATGTCGTGCAGGTGTGAGATTCTCAGGCCCGACAAAACCGGTCAATAAAAGAAGAGAAGATAATGTCAATCATTAGACGCTGCATTTTCCAAAAGTGTGCTGTGAGATTGACAATCAGCTGATTATACAGTGTCTGCCCCTCAACCCCTTCTCTGTTTTTCAACATCGCAAGGACTCTGATTGTCATTGCTTTTACACCTTGAAGCAGAGGACCTGAGGGTGGAATCAAACCGCGCCTGGCCCGGGGCAAAGTCAAGCCCTCGGTAGAAATGTGAAAGAGGTGGTACAGCTGAGATAAAGAGTGATAGCTGATAAATGAAGCTTGACACACATTGACAGGCTACATTTGCAGCAGGCCTTGTTAGGTATGACATATTTGGGCCAGTAGCATCAACTCTTTGAAATGGGTTGGGGGGAGGACAGGAGATATGTTGAGTGTGATCGGTCTGCGAAATGATTCAGAAATACAATAATTTGTCATGGTTAAATATAGAGATAGAAAGGCTAAAAATAGTGAGCTATATATCTGTGGAAGACGATTACCTACCTTTAACACCTTTTGTCTGGCTCCAGCAGAGACTAATTCATCGCCTATTCGTTGTATTAAACACAACTATTCATACATAAGTAGTGCTAAAATAAATCGCTATAGAAACAACAGCTAATACAGATTCCTTATAAATTGCCCTTTAATGGTGTGGTCGTTGCCTTTAAAATGCACTAATGATGACATGGTTGTGACATCATTTTATCAGATTGCATCACTCTACCTCTGCCGGTTAGCCCACTCACACTGTCAATAATAAGGGCATCTGTCTCAAAGCTGCACATGAGAGCCCAATTCTTTATTTGAATCGACAGCTTAACTACCTTACTGCGGCAATCTGACACAAGAGGATCCACAAGCAAATTCCCCTCTGAGTTATTACCAGAGCTGTGGCAGAAACCGAAGAGTACAAGGCTCATCTGATAACAAGGACGTAAACAACTTCAGGTTCAGTCGATAACAGAAGAGATTTTGATGAATCTTGCACGAGTTTCGAAATAACTTTTTTGTAATGAGGAGATCTTGTCTCGTTGTTGTGGGGAAAAGTGTCATGTAATATAAATGTGTTGGTGTCTGGTTAATTTGAGGAAGGGACCACAAGGCTGACGTTTGTTCCCATTCACAGCTTTGCGATCGTGGGTTAGGAGAGAATTCAAACGCTCCTAGTACACATTATTCACTTCATCGATGAATGTGGAATGAAATACTTTCTAATGAACATGTTGTAAACATTTCACCACTGTGGGACGGAATAAAGGATTTCTGTTTCTAACCCTTCTGAGCACGATAAGGAGTTTGACTCAGTCCACGAAGCTGATAACATGTATAAAAAATTAAAA